ACCGTCCTCCTTGTTGGATTTGATCAAGGAGGAAGGCTACCCATTTATCAAGTGTAATTAGTCTTCTTTGTTTCCATATTAATGCAATTTTGCAATTTTCAAAAAAAAAAAAGTGGCTCTATAATTTTGTGAAATTAAATTTATAGTCCCGTGGTACCCTCAATATCATTCCTAAAAAAATTAAATTAATTTAATCTTGAAATATATTTTATAACATTTTTCTAAATTTCTATCAGTGATACACCTATTAATTTGTTAAGGATTCAAAAAAGATATTAAGACTTATGAAAAATCTCCTTTCATTTTTTGGCTTAGAATAATTTATATTTTAAATTCATTATATTTGGAATTAAGGATAATTTTTAATGATTTCCTAAAGTTAAGGATAAATCATTGACCTTATACTTTTGAAACATCAATTAGGGGTTGTGTTGACCTCAAATTGGCTTGAGAAAGTAAAAGGTGTACGTGACACCTTAAGGAATCTTCCCAATGAATTTATGGTTGATTAGAGGTAATTAAGTTCACTAATTATGTAATTTTCTTCGTATATTATTTAAAAAATAATATATAGAGCTAATTCAAAACCCTTCTATTTAAATTTTTTATTTTTCTACACTTTTTTTACAAAATTTAGAGAGGAGTTATTTCTATTTTTTTTATTTAAAGTGAATTTATTATTATTTTAGTATGTTTTGATCAAGTTTTGGATTTAATTAAATCCTTAAAAAAATTAATTTAATCTTTGTTAAAGATTGAAGATTCCACTTTACCATGTAGATATAATCTCACCATCAAATCTTTGATCAAAAGGCTAGATAAATTTTGATATGAGCATAAGAGATTATATAACTGTTGCAGTCCATGACCTATAGCCTAAGATTTTGATGTTGAAAAATAACGTTGATTGAATTATCTCATTATTCATTGAATATTTGGAATGTTGCTCTTGTCTGTGAGTACTAACATTTCAAGGAGATCACATATTGCTAAAGACAACAAGAAGGCTCGAGGCTGGGTAGAATAGGATGTGAAGTGTGTAACTATGTATTTTTCTTTTTATTTTTTATTTTTTGTTCATTTCTCTGGTCTGGCCACAAAGTGTATGCAAATTGAGCAACCATGCACACACATAAGGGGAGAGTTTTTTTTAAGTGAATTTTTTTTATTCTTTATAGATCATACTGTAGGATTATAAATCGTACAGTGCGAACTACTATGGCTCAACAACTATTCTTTGTGAACTAATCATACTATATGATCATCATCGCACTGTACAATATGTTTTTAATTTTAGACCCTAATCACTAGATTAATTTAATTAAGTTTGTAAATCTTGAATTTTGAACTGATCGTACTGTATGATCGAATCATACATTACAAATATTTGAATACTTACTTAAATTAACCACCATGATTAGTCAATTAAATTAAGGATTAATTACTCATTGGTGATCGTACTGTACGACATGATTCATACCGTATGATGAATCGAGGCTATTTTTGATTGTCTCGAACATCATACCGGACGATCTCTTAATTTTTGAACTAATCATACTGGATGTGTAAGCATTATATCAGACAACCTGAAGCTTTTAACAGATCATATTGTACAAACTGGATTGTACCAAATGATGAACAGAGATGAGTTTTTGTCATCCCAGCATTCATCCTGTATGAATAAAAGAAATATAACATATTGTACTGTATGATAGTGCTAAAAAATTGCTTCTTTGTACTCCTTCGTACCAGGATGAAGGCTATTTTGAACTGATCGTACTATATGATCTTGGATTGTACTATATGAACATAAACAACTAAATTGAAAATGTATGGTTTCTTGGAGCCCGATTTATATATGATAATTTTTTCTTTTAAAATACAACAAGAGGGAGGAATGTGATAAGAAGGGGAACTCTTGAGAGGGAGCTACTTGGTCAGATTTTTGGGTTTGTGAGAGAAAGGAGAAGCTGAGTTTGAGAGGGACAAGGAGTGTGAGGGGGTCACATGGTTGCTCCAGGCATGCTGCACGCTTGCTCTTCCTATGGATCAAGAAAATCTTGGTGGAGCTTTCTAAGGGGGAGATCCTTCAAGGTTCTTGTCCTCAAAGGTACTTTGCCTTCTCCAGAAGGGAGAAAAATGAGATGGTTGGCTGCCATCACTAGGAGGGTGATATAGCGTTTGGTACTCCGCCACACTGGGGAAGGTGAAAGTGAGGTTTTGTAATAGTTTCTCTGCCTTGCTGTGTGGGAAAAAGGAAATTTGCTTTTGAGTAGTGAAATTCCAGGAGTGGATGTAGGTCAAGTGACCGAGCCACTATAAAACTTTTGGTGGGCTTTTTCTATTTATTACACTTTACTTATATTTTACATCTTATATTTGCTATAACAGCTTTATGAAAATTCTATTCTAGATCTTTGTTGTGTGATTTAAAATTTCACTACCTATTTTGCAATCATGTTTTAATCATTCGCTTCCGCATCAAGTTAAGTTTTGTTTAAAATATTAAAAAATTAATTAGAACTCCTGTTTAGGTTTGTTTCTTTATTTCAAAAATTTCGAATTCACCACCCTCTTAGAGCATCTCATACTTTTAATCACCACCATCCATTCTATTCATATATAATTTATGACCATTAATATGTCTCCTATAGAATTATCCATGATTAAGGAGTACAGTACTGGTAATCTAATAGTTAGATCCCATTAGATTGCAAGTATGATTTATAATGTATGAAATTAACTTTTAAAACATTAAATAAATTAAAAAAGATAAATTAAAATTATAATATTTTAAATAAATTTAAAAACATTAAAATCAAACAAAATCACCTAAATTATTTCACTTGCACTGATGTATACTGAATTAAACAAGCTTAACCTAAAGATTAACATATTAAAGCAAATAATTAAATATTTAAGCTAAATCTTGAAGCCATATATATATATATATATATATATATTTCACTCCATTTAAATGATATATGCATTGGATTCCTAGGCTTTCAATAAACCATTAATAAGCTAAAGCCTTGTACATTATGGTTTATTACAATAGAGAGCATATATGTTTTCAATTTATAATCCTTAGGATGTAAGTTTGTATACTTCAAAATAATTTGACGTACTCTAACTAAAATGTTCTTCATAATAACTACTTTCTTAAATCACCTAATAAATGATGAATAAAATTTAAGGACTATATGTTACCAATCATTCCTATATAGGAGAATGGTAGCATTATAATTATGAGCCTTATGACTTGTAGGTTAGTGGCTTCTACACTTTGAAGTCACTTTTTTACATGGTTATTTAAAATTAAATAATAAATTTAAATGTTTTATAATATAATTAATAAAATACTAAGTCAATAAAATTTAAACTTAAACCAAAATCCCTTTGGCCTATAATAAAAAATAACTTAAAACTGAAAAAATTTAAATAATAAATCCTTAAGGATACATTAAAATCACACAACCTCTTGCACACACTTTAAAGGTTTGGTAAGATAACAAACTCTAGCCTAAAGGTTATTTATGTTTGGTGTGTTTACTTTCTATACGATGGATATAATGTTTATATCTTTTATTGGTGCTCCTTAAATTATTCAAGACCATATTAAGCTAGTTTATACTTTCTTGTATATGCACCTATGCCACATTATATATGTTCATATCTTATATATACCACTCTTTTATATTCTTGCTGAAAGTAGAATGCACTTAGGTATTGTTGTAAATGTGAATGTAAATGCAATCATTTTAGATTCATTTATATCTTGATTGAGTCGTACACTGTTAAGAGTTGCAGGAAGATTAAAGATGGTTACTTATGTATATAGAATTCCAAAAGGTAGTGATCCTTCTCCCTTTGAAGTTATTATCTTTTGGAATCTTACTAAAGACATTGGAACTAGAAGATTCAAGAGCCAATATAAGGAATCATATTTAAATCTATATTATATAGGATATACAAATCTAGGCTTGTTGTTGGTGGAGCCTAGTCCCCTTTATTTTTCCAGCAGACCTTGAGTGGTACTCTATTTAAATTTTAAATGAATAAAAGTTTTATTTACCCATTATTTTTATGCAACATTCCATAGAGTTGTTTTTATTCATTTGCATATTAAAGAGTCTTGATTAAAGTCTTTTGGAACTAAAACCCCTTGATTCCTAGGATGGAGTTATCTAATCTTGCATACATAAGGAAATTATTTGACACTTAGGATTGTTAGCTTTTTTTTTTTTTGAAGAATTGCAATGAAATGCATTAAGAACAAAGAACTAATTACAAGTAATAAAAGGATCACATTCCTCCTTGATTAATTTCAACAACAAGGATGGAATGTTCTCCAAAGAAGAGCTATCAAAGTAAAAACTAGCTTCCAATGCCATAGTAGCACAACAATTAGCTACCTTATTACAACTTCTAAAGGCATGATGGAAGACAACTTTATTGAAATCATTTAAAAAGCATAAATCCTTTGCCGGCCACCTATCCACATGCCAATTATTCTTCTTCAATGAATCTTGAATAAACATGATAATGTTGATATTATGCTTTCAATAATCACCCTTTGAAATCCAACATCCATTTACTAAGAAATTCCCTCACCGTAAGAATAGCTGCTAGCTCAAGTTGAACTATATCCCAATGCATCTTACTCTTCCCAAAAGCACTAATGAACCAGCCTTTACAATCTCTAAAAATGCCACCAATTCCAGTATGATTGGAGCTAAGCAAAGAAGCATCCACATTAATCTTAATCCAATCTTTTGGTGGAGGGCACCAAGAATTTTGAGACTCCCTAAGGAAATTAGTGCCCCAGCTCATAAGAAGTGGATTAGATGTTGAAGTAGCTAAGAATAAAGCATTAGAAGCAACCAAAGAGTACGGTAAAGCAGCCTTACCTTGCTTGACTTCATTCTGATTCCTCAAAGAAAGATACACAACCGTGCAGTAAATTCTGACAATCCCATAATAATGGGTAGTTAAATTCTTCAACTCCATAAACAGCTATCCAGGGAATGAAAATCCGGTATATGAATACCCCATTCAAGCATTTTCATAATAACTTCCACCATATATTTGCAATGAACCATAATATGCTCATATGATTCATTAGATTGGCAGCCTCTAGCACAAAAAGCATTATCAGATAATCTGCAGTTCTTTAAGAACAAATTAGTTGGAATAGCTTTTTTACCAAGCCTCCACCAGAATGTCTCAGCCTTCTTGTTAAGTTTCAGCTTCAGTACCCAATTGAAGAACCCGATCTCCTCATCAACACAGCTATAAAAAACAGAATGCTCATAAACCAAAGCAGATACGGTCTTCCCTGAACACCAATTCAGAAGATCCACCCTATCCTCCTCCTCATTTTCAACACTAATTTGACTAATCAGTATGATTAAATCAAGATGAAAAGCCAATTGTAATACCGCAGAGTTCCATTCACCATTACTCATTAATAGCTGCTGTACATAGACACCCTCAAGGAATTCACAATTCACATAAGTTCGCCACCGGTTGATGCAGTTATCAAGCAACCATGTATCATTCAAAACACTGATCCTGTCTCCCTTGCCTATTCTCCAATTGACAGCATTCTTCAAGAGTCTACCTCCATCCAACAAAATGCGCCAAGCACTAGAATTACCATTCTTTTGAGCTTCATACATAATATCACCACCATACTTACACTTTATTGTTCTATGAAACAATGAATTCGGCTTTTGTAAGAAATTCCAGGCCAATTTAGATCTAAGAGATCCAAGTCTAAGTAAAGGAGATTGCAAACCCAATCCTCCCAAACACCTTGGTTTGCAAATCTCTTCCTAGGCAACATAATGCATTCCATTAGTTCCATCTTTTTTATGCCAAATAAAATTTATACATAATTTTTCCAATTCATGAAGAACCCTCTTGGGGACTAACGAATGAGTAATCAAGAAGTTTGGCATAGAAAGCAGAGAACTTTCAATAAGGACGAGCTTACCTCGCAAAGAAAGGGACTTCTTACACCAAGAATTAAGCCTATCCATAACATTACTAAGAAGCTCCTGAAAATCTGCCACCTTGGGTCTCCTAGGAGAAATATTCACACCTAGGTATTTCATTTCCTTGACCATATTGAAGCCAAAAACTTTATTAATCTTCTTCCTGAAAGGGTGCCTAACCACCTTGCCAAACATAATTTGGGATTTGCTGAAGTTAACTCTTTGTCCTGTCCACTTACAAAAGTCTTCCACAATGATCTTCAATGCCTTAGCTAAGGCAGTAAAGGCATGAGAGAAGATTAGCACATCATCAGCATAAAGGAGATGTGTAATCTTTGGGCCTCTGGAAGAGATATGAATGCCAAGAGACTGCCCCCTTTGTTCCATGGAATTGGACAACAGTTGGGAACACGAAATGAAAAGGTAGGGTGATAGTGGACATCCTTGACAGAACCCACTATGAGCATTAATCCACTTGGAATTCTTTCCATTGATGATAATGAAAAGCCTCACATCTACAACACATTCCAATAGAAGGTTAGAGAAATTAGAAGGAAAGCCATACCACTTAAGAATTTGATGAAGTGTTGCCCATCCCATGCTATCATAAGCTTGTTCCATATCCAATTTTATAGCCATCAATCCCATCTTATTCTTGGATATCTTGAACTTATGAAAAATCTCTTGAGCCAAAAGGCAATGCTCTGAAATAGATCTCACAGGAATGAAAGCCATTTGCTCTTCAGAAATCATCTTGGAAATTCCCTTCTTCAATCTATTAACTAACATGGTAGCAACAATCTTATAGTTAATTTGGCAAAGGCTGATAGGCCTGTAGTTAGCCGGAACCAATGGATTCTTGACTTTAGAAATCAAGACAATCAGGGTATCTTTCCACTCCTTACTCATACGGCTGGACTTAAAAAAATAGTTGACAACATTCCATAGAGTCTCCCACATAATACTCCAATAACTTTTGTAAAAAGAAGAAGTAACACCATCCATACCTGGAGACTTATTGTTCCCTTACTGGAAGACCGAACACTGCATCTCATTCACGAAAAAATGCTCATTAAGCAAGACTATATCCTCAGCTGAAACCATATGTTTTTCTGTAGCTACCGGCCAACCCGTTAAAACACAGTTCCTGTGCTGCCACTTTTTTTTCAAAAAACTGATTAAAAACCTTCTCAATTTGATCATCTTCATCATATACATTATTGAACTCATCTTTAATTTGATTAATCTGATTTCCATTCCTTCTAGCTGTGGCAAAGTTATGGAAAAACTTAGAATTTGTATCTCCTTCTTCATGCCATCTAGCTCTTGCCCTTTGATTCCACCATGTAGATAATCTTCTTAAAGTAACATTAAGCTCATGTACTTTAGTTCGAAGTAACAAAAGATCCTTATCTGCCCAATTCTCCCCCAAAGCCTCCTTGTTTTGAAGTTCAAGGATCTCCCCTTTCAGCTTTTCCTTTAAACTGTTCAAGTCTTTACATTTATTCTTATTCCAAAAAAATAATGCTCTTAAAGTTTTGGTAGTCTTCCTTTGTAAGATCATATTTTCATCACCATAATCCTTCTTTTTCCAAGAGTGATAAACAACACTCTTACTTGTCGGGTAAGACCTCCAAGTATCCTCAAACTTTATAACCTTTGACTTGTACCGCACACTAACATCCAATTTAAGAACAATCAGACTATGGTCAGAAGCCACTCAGGACAAATGTCTAATAGCAGCTAATGGAAGCTTCTGAATAGCAAGTGAATTTAATAAGCACCTGTCCAACCTCTCCCAAATCCGGGAGGCCCCCTCCTTGTTGTTACACCAAGTAAACCTTGGCCCAATGTATCCAATGTCATGAAAATCTGAATTCATCATAAAACCTTTTATCTCCTTAGGTCCTTTAGAGAATAAGAACCTCTTACCACCTCTCTTTTCCTCCTTATTCAAGATACAACTGAAGTCCCCTCCAATGATGGCAGGACAAGAATCCTCCATACATTTCTCAAGTTGCTTCCATAAACTACCCCTCTCCCCACAACACCTACTCCCATATACCGTAGCAACTTTCCACATTCCATATTTAGGAATCGAAAGGTTACCAACAATAACCTGAGAAGAAGATTCCTTCACATCAAAAGAAACCAACATCCTGTTCCATAACACCAGAATCCCTCCAGAGTTACTTTATGCAGGATGGTGCCAATAATCCCAATCCTTCCTAATAAGACAATCAATCTCCCTTCTATCAATACTAGAAAGCTTGGTCTCCATTAGACCAATAAAAAAAACATCTTGTTCTCACACAACTTCCTTCAAATATAATGAGGCCTCCTTCTTCCTTGCCCCCCAACAATTCCAAAACAATAAAGAGGTCATTTAAACAATTAAAGGGGATTTCTCCCCATTGATGGAATTCATCCTTCCATCCCTCTTTTTCTTCTTATAATCTGGTTCAACTGGCCCTAAAGATCTCAACTCCTTGGCTAACTTCACTTTAGCAGCACCACTTTGAGACCCTACACCCGTATGACTGAGTTCTATATCAGCAACATCCATATCCTTCTCCTTCGATTTATCAATTTCTTCAATCTTACCACTGTCTTCTTCTTCACTGAAATCAGTTAACGTAGCAAATCTATTGATTAACTGAACTTCTGGAGGTTTAACACCCACAGATCTCTCAAAATCTGGGCAAATATCTGGGGCCCGGACAAACTTTTCAACAACAACCTCTGCCTCTTTCTTCAACTAATTTTCCTTCTAGACAGCAACATTCTGGCTGTTACTTCTCATGTTCTCATCAATAGCCTTATCACCAATTATTTTCCTATTATTAGTATTACTATTGAACACCCATATGTTTTTAAAATGAACATGAATCCAAGGGCCAAATTCTGAACTGATCACTGATTTCTTACCGTCAGTCACAACCTTACTATCTTCCTCATTAACTGCATTTGTCTTCCTTAACTTCTGGTCTTGAATCCCAAGTGATACATTCTCCGGACAAGCACTAGCTTCATGACCCACTTTTCCACATTGGTAGCATAGAAGATCAATCTTCTCGTACTCCACACGTTGGAAGAACCTCTTAGCTGAACCATCTACCCAAACACCATTAAATAGCTTTTTCTCCAAATCAATCCTAACACAAACCCGAGCAAACTTACGCTTTCCCCAACGAAAAGTATTGCCATCTAAGTACATTGGGGTTCCAAAACAAGATGCAATTCTCGCCAAATTATCCTCATCCCAACAATACAGTGGCAAGCACGGGAGCCTGATCCAAACTGGAGCCGAAATACCCTTAAACGAATTTGGATCAAAAGCAGGGGACCATCTATCCATACCGACAATAAATCCACTTACATACCATGGGCCACCATTCAAAATTTATTCTACCACCTCATTCATTTTAAACGAACATAATATGAAATTCATGCCAATTGAAGTCATATGAAAACCACCTTACTTGCTCCATTGCCGCCTCAATTCAATACTACACACTGAAAAAGGTACGTTGCTGCCCAATTCTTTAATTACAACTGAATCCTTCAAAATCTCTGAGTTCTTTACCTCCATTTTAGAATTTAATCTCACTGCAATCCCATCTTCAAAAAATTCAACTTGATCCCTGTTAAATGAAATCTTGATATGCTTTGGCTTCGATCATGCATCAATAATCTCACCATTACTTTTCTGAAATGAATTAACAATCGGATTCACCTTCAAGATTTCATAATTCTCTAAAACCTTTACAGGGCCCTCATCGTCAATCAAATTTTCATCAACCTTCTGATCAACAATCGCCGGCAGAACCTTAACAACATTCCGATCCTTTTGCATATCAAGAACTCCAGATAAATTATTTACCCGTAAAATTAAATCATCCGAAGTTTTAGGTTCAAGAACAGCCAAATCTGGATTTCTCTTCTCCCCCATAAACTTCTTAGCAGCCAAATCCACCATCACAACATTCTTCCCCTTACCCTCAACAAAAGTTTGATTGCTCGGAGGTCTTGACCCTTCTCTAATCACAATTCCATTAGAAACCTTACCAGTAGCTTGTAAGGAGCCAGAAGAACGCAGAGCATTCATGAACCCCGGCAAATAACTGCCAGCGATCCTCTGGCGCCAATTCCACCGATCATGAAAAGCCCGCGCAAAATGAAATTGAAACCTTCAGCAAACTTTCTCTCTCTAGAATTCCAGATGTTCTCTCTCTAGGTCGGCTGAGCAGCGTGAGAAAATTTGTTAGGATTGTTAGTTGGTAATCCACTCTAGGTATATATAAGTCTAGATTGTATACACTCCTCAATTTCTCTATCCCCAAAAGGGCTATTCTCTCATTCTAAAATCTAAAATTTAATTTCTAAATCTAACTCCAATCTAAACCTTAAATCACTATTTTATAATCTAAATCCTAAATTTTATATTTGAATCTCTTGAACCCAAACTTTTCTTAAAATCTATATAAATTTAGAAATTTAGTCATCACTTTAATAAAACTTGAAGACTTAGAAGAATATTTTCAACCTATTGGAGATGCTACTGAAATATTTAGGGAGAAGTTTGAGACTTTAGATACTTTATCTATGTGTAAAGCTCTAAGATCATTTATAGAGGAAGCCCCTATTTTAGAGCTTAGAGTTTTACTCAACCATTATAAGTGTGCTTTTTAGGTAGAGATTAAACTTTGTATGTGATAATTTCTACTAGCTTGGAAAAAGAATAGGAATGCAAGTTGATAAGGGTTTAAGGAGATTGTAAGAAAGATTTTGGATGGACTATAACTAATATCAAAGGAATTAACCCCACACTCTATATGCATAAGATTTTAATGGAGGCCAATTCTATATCAAAAGCTAATCCTCCCTCCTAAAACGAGATACTTAAATGGCTAGATTCAAAAATTATTTATCCCATTTTAGATAGTACTTAGGTTAGTTCTATTCATTATATTTATAAGAAGGGTAGTTTGACTGTAGTATGAAATGAAGACAATGAGCTTATCCCCACTAGGATATTCCCTAGTTGAAGAAATTGAATAAACTATATGAAGCTAAACAAAGTCATTAAGAAAGATTATTTCCTCTTACCTTTCCTTGATCAGATACTAGATAGGTTAGCATGATATTATTTCTATTATTTCTTAGATGGACACTTAGGATATGATTATATTCCTATAGCACTTGAGGACTAGGATAAAACCATCATTACCAGTCCTTATGGGACATTTAACTTTAAAAGAATTCCTTTTCAACTTTGTAATTCTCTAGGTATATTTTAGAGGTACATGATGTCTATCTTTTTCATATTTAATTGAGCAGTGCATTGAAATTTTTATGGATGATTTTATTTTTTGTTTGGTACTACTTTTGATACAGATCTTGATTATTTAATAATTATTTTAAAAGATGCATAGAAACAAATTTAGTACTAAATTGGAAAGAAATGTTAATTTATGGTGACTAAGGGAATTATTTTAGGGCTTAAAATCTTTAAGTACTAGTGGTAGATAAAGCATGGTTCAGGTAATAGAAAAATTGCCAACCCCCACTTTATTTAAGGGAACTAGGAGCTTCCTTAGACATGCAGAATTTTATAGGAGGTTTAAAAGAACTTTTCCTTTAAAGATTTATTCACTTGTTCGAAAAGAAATTTTCTTTTATTTTTGATATTGCATGTCTTGAAGCTTTTAAAACTTTGAACCATCATAACCTATTATTATTGCTCCTCATTGGTTCTTGCCTTTTATTATCAAGTATGATACAAGTGATTTTACTATATGTGTTGTTCCTGACCAAAAGAAAGATAGAAATTTCTTTTTTTTTTTTATTTTAGCAAAACTTTGAATGCTGCATAATGTAACTACAACACCATTGAAAATGAATTACAAGCCATTGTCTTTATTTTTGGTAAATTTTGGTCTTATTTGATTGGCACAAAAGTAAATATATACAATGATAATTCTACAATCAGATTCCTTATGACAAAAAAGGACATCAAATCTAGATTGATGAGGTGGATTCTTTTATTACATGAATTTGATGTATAAGTTTTAGAAAGAAAAGGAACTTAAAATTAAATTGTTGGCCAACTTTTAAGACTTACAATTGAATAACATGCTTTTAATGAACTTGAAATTAATGAGTTTTTTTTATGAGAAACTATTTTCTTTACATCTGAGTAGATTAGCATGATATAATAATATTATCAATTTTATTGTTTGTGTTGTGCTTCGATTTGATTTATCCTCTACTCAGAAAAGAAAATTTGTCATCATGCCAAATATTTTTTTTTTGGATGAACAATATTTGCTCAAAATTTCTAATTACCAAATCATTAGGAGATGTCTCACTGAGGAAGAAGTAGAATCCATAATTAAGGAATGTTATGACTCATATTAAGGAGGAAATTTTGGAGGATTTAGAAATGCTTTTAGGTACTCCGATCAGGATTTTAGTATCTTACATTATTTAAAAAAGTTAATGAATATGTTAGAAAGTGTGATCAATGTTAAAGAGTAGACAATATTTCTAGAAGAAATAAAATGCCTTAAATTTATCTTATAAATTGAGTTAGTTGATGTTTGGGTATTAGATTTGTTAGGACCATTTGTGCAATCCCAATGATACCACTATATTTTTATTATTATTGATTATGTATCAAAATTTATTGAAGGAGTGGAAAACCTATAATCAATGCTCAGGTTGCACTTAAATTTTTAAAGAAAAATATATTTTTTAGATTTGAAATGCCAAGAATATTAATTAGTGATGGGGGAAGTCATTTCTATAATAAGAGAGTAGAAACAAGACTAGTTAAATATGATATTCAACATAGGGTTGCAATAGCCTATCATCCTCAAATTAGTGGACAAGATGAAATAAGTAATAAGGAGATTAAAAGAATTTTGAAAATAAAAAATGTTAGTTCTAATAGGAAAGACTAGGCTATTAAATTAGATAATGCATTATGAGACTAATGAACTACTTCTAAATGCCTTTATTGGAATATGTACCTATAAGTTAGTCTTTGGAAAAGCTTGTCACCTTGCTGTAGAATTAGAGTATAATGTATTCTAGGCAGTGAAAGAATTAAATTTCAATCTTAAGAAAGCAAAAGAAAAAAGTTTGAGATTGTTGAATGAATTAGAAGAATTTAGAAACGAGGCTTATAAAAATGCCAAGATTTTTAAAGATAATTTAAAAAAAATGTTATGATCGTAAGCTTCCTAAGAAAGAATTTACCCCTAAATAAGAGGTTTTACTCTTTAGATCAAGAATAAATTATTTTTGGGAAAACTAAAATCCAATTGGTCAGGACCATTCATTGTTATGAAAGTATTTCACTACAAAGCTATTGAAATTCATGATAAGAAATGTTTGTATTTTTTAAAATCAATGGCCATAGATTGAAGCCTTCTTTATTAGGGGCCATACATCATTTGAGAAATATCACTAATTTGGTTTGTTCTAAAAAAGAATACGTGGTGTACTTTGGTTGAAGTCCTTAAACATAGTGCTAATGGGAGACAACCCAATTGTGTTTTGTGTCTGAATTTCTTTTCAGTTATTTAGTTCTTTCATTATGTATTATGTTATTTTGTAATAGTTTTTTGTTACTTTATTGTTTACTTATATTTACATTATTGTGTTAATTCAACTTACATTTAATTTAAATTCATGTATTTGTTTAACTCTTAAAAATTATCCTCTACAATTCATTTTCACTTTCATTGTTCAGTTAGCTAAAATGAAAAAGTAATTAAAAAATATCTAAAATTAATAAGAATATTAATATGATAGATGATATTTTGAATGAACAAAACATATTAATTCATACTTTGATAACCTTAAATAATTAACAAAGTAATAATTTTAAGTCATTGACTTGTATTTATCATAGAAGCTATAAACTCTTGCACTGACTACTAAATTGAAGAATGAATAATTGAGTTTAAGGAATAAATTTGTAACATAAATTCTGAACATCATTGTACACCTAATTATGGAATTAACAATCTTACTAAATCCTTACATAAATTCAATTAGAATTGCTGGAGGGATAAATGTTGAACTAATATTCAAAATCATTAACATGTGCTCCATGTATGAAAAATCAAAAGAGAATGTTAAAAAAGAAAAAAAGATGAGTACATTATTGATTCATCATTAAAATTTACTCAAATTGAGAAAAAGCAAACTAATATTCAAAATCATTAACATGTACTCCAATTGATATCTTTGATACTTGAATTTCAAAATCATAATTTTTGATTTATCACTTTGCTATGCTATTCTCTTAGATATATTTCTGTAAAGCAAACTGTAGGTCAAGCTCCT